CAAGCACTTTTGATCTGAAAATCAAAGGCAGGTAGATGCTCCCAAAGCTGTCTTTAGTTTCTTTACTAGTCCCCCGTTCCGCAGAGAACTATGTGACAAGCAAAACCACATTGAACAGGCATTTTGGGTATGGAAGCAAATGGAGAGTAGGACTTCTGAAGTTAGACTGCCTACATTAAACTTCCTTTTGACACAGACTTACGTGAAGGGGTGCCCATTGCTGTCAGGTAGTGTTTTGTGAAGATACAAGCAGAGGACACCTGAGCCCTAGTACTAAAAAGTGCTGGCAGTCTTTGCTCCAAATGAAGTCAATGGCAACTGCAGCTGCTCAGAACAGATGTAAATTAGAGCACCACAACAGCATTTTTCCTGGTACATCTAATTATTGCTGAAGGAGATACATGGGAGACAACAATGTCTGGCACAGAGGGGGCTTTACTGGGAATAAAAAGAATCCTGGTCCAGATCCACAACAGTTTGTCTGAAAAATAGTAGCCCAACTTGACAGATGTAGGTAAGAAAAAGCTGAAATTATCATTCAGCCATATAATCACATAAAGATACCCTTATAAATAAGGTGACTTAAGCAGCAGCAATGCCCTGTCAGGTCCCTCATTGCTGGCTTCAATGAATACTGAGAAAAGGTTTTCCACCGCGTAACCGCAGTCCAAACATATCTTCAGCTCATCCTTTTAACCAGTATTCTGCCACTATATATATAGGGCACTCTCCTTTCCCCAGCCAACTAAACTAGGCAAGCCAAACCATATTTTACTACATTATATAATTCAAGGTATGTCTACATCAGGGGTGCCGCCAGTATAGAATGAAAACCCTTTCACACCATTACAGCATAATACCATACTGGCAAAAAGAGTCAAGTCTGTATCTGGTTGGGAATAGCTGCCACTCATGGGAAGCTAGTCAAGTTACTCATGTTAGCTGTGGCAGCAAGAGCCAGCACTTCATGCTTGCATATTTGGTATCCCTAAAGTATGATATATGCAGTGTATGTGACCCACTCTTTTATGTACTAAACATGTCAAGCTTAAAGAAGGAAAATGAGAGAAAAAGATCACAGTTATTGTATCATTGGTTTTTTGCTTACCACAAGTCCTAGCACAAGGGTACGCACTCTCTCCCCAATCTCTGGTGAAATGTCATTGCCAAACTGCTGTAAGGTTGTAAGAAATCTCTTCAGTTTGCTGAGTTGCCTAGCTCCACAAGCTGGCGGTAACTGCTGGTTAGCCAGAGAAGAGGAAGAGGAAGAGGATGGCCCATTGCTAAAGCCATTAGGAGGAGATGGAGCTCCATTTAACGCTGTTGGTGAATGGCTAGTGCCATTGGTTACTGAAAGAAAAAGAGAGAAGGGAGGATAAAACAGAGAGAGGGGGGAAGAGAGAGAGAGAAAGAAGACAGAGAGGAAAATCCATCAGCTTATGTTTTCTGTGCTTGACCTCAAAATTAATTAAGTTGCACAATCAAAGATAATTAGCCTTTTTGACAGAGCGACACACTGCAGTTTATATCTATTTCCCAGTAGCTGGTACTGAACAGTGTATGGATTGGAGGTAACAGCAGCTGCCTCTCATACAGCCCCCCCCGAAAGTGCTCCTGGACCTGAAAAGCATCATTTGAATACCAGCCTTTTGTCAGAGGATTTTTAAAAGAGAGAGAGGGAAACAGAGAGAGAAAGAGCATGAGTGCACGTATGATTGAAGATCAAAAAAAATTGCTCTTTGGGGTAGAAAAAAATGTGCAGACATATTTCACGAAGCCTCAGTTTATCTCTGAATATTTTTACTTGTGTTTTGTACACACAACTGACAGCTGTGTTTATAAAACAGGACTTTCACGTTTTAACCTTCCACCACCCAATGAGAAGGTTATTTTTTCCGATACAGATTTCCTAGCTGCTAACATATGGAGCACACAAAGTTGTTTGTGCAGGTACAAATGGTGCCATGCTCACTGTGGCCTGAAGCCTTGCAGCTAGGGCATGAAGCTAGACTTCAGAAGACTTCTCCGAGACTACGAGCAAATCACTCAGCTTTCATGTGCCAATACCGTATCTCTAAAAAGGATAGGAAAGCATTCCCCTCCTGTTGCAAGGTTGCTGTGAGAATAACTATCTAAAGTACTAAGTGTTCAAAATTTATGGCAACGAGATTCATGCAGACATACTGAAGACAACAACAGACAGTTTTTGGCAGCGATTTCAGTTTGATTCTTATCCACACCCCAGAAGAGAGCAGAGAATCAAACTGAGGACATCCTTTTCTATCCCGGTGACTTGGAACAGCAACAGTCAAACACACTCTGTTGAGGTTGTTTGAGTCTGACTCGCCAAAATGACAGCGAATGGCAAGAAAAAGGATGGCTCCCTAGACATACAAATGTACCAGCGCACTGGCAGGTGTGGGCACGCAGCATGCCACTGTACCCAGCAGCAGCCACAATTTCTCCACTGCCCTGGGGAAATTTGCGGATTTCTTTTTGGGAAGTCACTCAGAACGCATCCCAAAAAGCATAAAAAATCAGGAACTTGTCTACAATCAAAAATGCATAGGAGTATCAGTCTAAACTGCTTTCTATTTAAAAGCATAACCATGGCGAGCTAGCAACTTAAAGAACTTTCAATGTTTCTTAATGACTGGCCTCTCTGATGCCAAACATCCTTTCTCTTTGACACTTTCTCCAGCAGTCATCTTTATTTTTAGACAGCAAGTCCTTTTTGAGGGTGGACACCTATTACTAGATTTAAATCACTACCCTATTACCAGATTTAAATCACTACCACAATACTTTTGAAGGAGCTTTTGCCCTAGTGACTGAAGCTCCCTTCTGGAGGTACTACAGAAAAAGCTATCTGAATTGTTATCTAGTTTCTGCTTGTGTTTTATCCTAGTTTTTGGTTGCCTATTCTAGCTGCGTGGGCTAGGGAGAACAAGAAGTGGAAAAAGCAGAAATAGAAGGAAGCTGGCCTCAGCAAGTTCAGCTCCACGTGTAGCTCCAAGCCACGCTCTCTGAGCGCTGCAGTAGAGTGAGATATCTGAGTAAAAAAATACATCGTGATTGCAAGGAACTTGCATAGCCAAAAGTCATCATACCATGAACTTAGTAAATGAGGAATGGGAAGAATAAGAACATGTCCTGCTGTAGCCTAACACCACCCAGCACCTCAGTCACTGGTAAGGGGCTGCTCCAGGCAGAGGATCCTGAGGCTAGGATCAAGAAAGCATAGAACAGCAGAGTTCATTACCTAGGGTAGATATGAGGAGGAGAAAGGCAGGTAAAGTTTCTCCCACAACAAAAGAAATACAGAAATACTCCCCAAATGCAGCTTCTCTTCTTTTTTTAATAGCCTACCCCATACTAACGATTTTATCTCTTTCTTTATAATGTCTGAATTTGCCAACCGCCAAAGACCTATGTCATTTCTAAAACAAACCCATGTCAAGAGTTTTCAATCGTCTAAACCAAAGAAAACAAGCATACTCTTGACCAGAAAACAAGTATGATCTTCCTGGCCTACAGGCATTCCCGCTGGAGTAATAATAAATGTAAGACACTCCAGCAGAAGTGACTGTTTACTGTACAAGCTGGAACCGCTAAGGCCAAACTCCAAAATCTGACAGGGTAAAAGGCAATGAAAATTAGACTTCTTTTAGACTTCTAGTCTTCATATAAACAGCCCCAAAAATCCAGCTACGGTTCACACACCTTCCAAAGTGCTGAACCCAATCAAATAAACAAACATCCAGAAATCTTGTGAGTACACTGAGGATTATAAGAGTGATTAAAGAAGAACATTGTCCTTTCCTTTTATGATTGCCAAAGATTACCCTGAACTGTGCAAAGTGCATCACACTGGAAAGCTTAATCTGTAAGAGCCCCATCCTGCAAAAACCTAGAAACAACTCAACTTTAGACCGGAGCAGCTCCTAGGATGATTCAGGTGCTGGAGTTAAGCAAAACAGAGAAATCTCTGCAGGATCAGGGTCACTGGGTTAAATTTGAGTTTATGTGAACAGCTGGCACAAAACCCTCCTCACTGTTTAAGTTCCATGTAAATGTTCAGGACAGGGTTCCCTGAGATAAGTAGTACAAAGGCCTCCAGCTGGCCTTCTGCATAGAGGTGAATTTTAAATAAGGCATTTAACAGACAGAAAGGGACTAAACAGACCTAGGCAAGACAAATAGAAGATGCTGCCTTCATTCTGTTTAGGCATATGTATTCTACTGTTCTAAAAATGTTTTATTTAAAATGTGAAATGTAAACACATTCTCATGTTTATACTATTACAAGGCAGTATAAAAGAGACCAAAAAATTTGCAGCTAAATCTAAGAGAAATGTGGATCATTTCATGGCTGTGAAAAGATTAGTCCAGACAACATGCCAGATTCAAATCTCAGTTACACTGATATGAATGCAGAATAATTCCATCAAGAGTAGTAGAGTTTCTTGTGTGTTTACATCAATAAACTGAGACAGAGATGCAGCCCCAAGTGATTTAGAGAAGTAAAGTGGTCACAGACTAGAAATCTCCAGATAAAACAATAAAAGGCCTTTATTTTTGGTTTTATATCAATATTAACTAGACATTATATAGCACTTAAATCAGAATCCTTCATTCAATTGTAAGTGGGACGAAGATAAGTATTTTCTTTATGAATTACCCCCACTTTAAAAACATAAACAAACAAAACCCCTGAAGTTTCTATACAAAAGGGAACGGGACCCTTTAAACAACAGAATGGCATAAAAGAGGAGAAAGTGGTTTTCTGTACTTCTCACAGAAGGACTGATCTGAGCATTAGGTACATGGGAAACCACTGCTCGCTGTCCTTTGACACTGCGGCCAAGTCGTCAATGAAATAACAACACAACTCTGAGCTGAATGTCTTAATACCTTAAAGATGCATTAATCTATTGTGATCTTAGTTTTGCTTAATTACTTTATCGCAGTACAACCAAATGCTGCTCCCGCCATGTCATGCAGATTTCCCTCCACATATTTCGGTTTCTTACATAGAGAACAGAAAGAATATGGAAGAAAAGGAAGAAAATAAGTCTAATTACACGTTGTGGGCGTGAATGAACTGGTTCTTGGAGCTCCTTGGGTAGTGGGAGGAGGTGGCATGGTTGGAGGCGTCAGCCTGGATTGTGTCTTCACATCCACAGGTGAGTCGGGCATTGTGGAATGCTTCTCAGTGCGATCTGCAACACACACCACAGGAACACACCGGTTTATTCCCCCAAGCACACCCCCTCTGACAAAAACTTAAAAGCTAATACAAGAAGTGAGCCATTCCAGCATCTGCCGCTAAAGATTACACCTGATTATCTACTCCAGTGTGCTCTTCCCAAATTACATCATCTAAACCTTACTTAAGAAGGTGTAACACAGATGGTAAGACCTCATTTGCAGCGGTGCTGCATTATCTTTTGTTTTTATTTCTAGCATGTGCAGATGCTACCTCCCAAGCACTCCTGGAGCTGCAATAATGCCACCTGCCTTCAAGGCTCTCATGTTAGCCAGGAGGAAAAAACAGACGAAGAGACAGGAAGGTAATAAATCCCCTTACGACAGCTCTTTCAGAACTAAAACCTGAAGCTCTTTAGTACAGGTGAGATACTGGGTGGGATATTGGTTGAAGCCAGCTCTCTTCATGTCTCTTTTCTGTAAGACCTGCCGTCCTCTCCATTGCTTCTTTTTGTAATCATGGAGAGATACTTATGTTAAATACTGCGTGCCTCCTGGATCACTTTACCACCCTGCCCTTGGATATTCTTACATTCACCAGAAAAATGAACACAACATGCCAAAATGGTAAGTCAATCGTCACACATACATACCATTTTTTTTCCAAAAGCATTTCAGTTTGCACCTTCACACATTAAGAACAACTTTAACGTTCAAAACCTGCAAGATAAGTAGAAACATACCTCCCCAAAAAACCAAAACAAACAAAAGGCAAAACCAGGCAGAAAACCTAACAGTTCTCTCGCAACTAAAGATGCAAGATATTTGATACAGAAGTTACAGAAATATCTTCTTTTTCCAACATCTTTTTGGATACCTCTATGTTAAAATTTTTTAAAAACTCACCCCAACCCCTTATGTTTCATTTATCGAGAATGGGCAAAACGTGACAACATTTACCAACTGAAAGAAAAGTTAAGGCTTCCTTACTCATGCCAGGAGTTTAGCGAGCCATCTTGAGTAAAGATGAGCAAGATCAAATTTAGCTTTTAATGGGCATAAGTTAAATTGTTCCATCCCTTCTCTGGGGGGTCGGGGTTATTTATTTTATATGCAGTCCTACACAAGTCTTCTGAGCTCATTAAACTATTTTGCAAAGCAAGGAAGTGTCGCTGCTAATGGGTAAGCATCTCTAAGTCTGTGGTTTGAATTCAAGACAATATCAAAGTCTGCCACATTCCATAAATTCTGTCACTCCACTTTGCAACGTGCTTTGCTTGTTCTGACTAACAACATACAAACTTCAACCAAAAAATCATATCTAGAATTTGCCCTGAGAGACAATAACAGAAATTAAATGCAATGGACACATTTAACAAAGGAAGGGTAAGTTTAAAAGAGCCTCAAAACACTTAATTTTCAGAACACTTAATTATCAGAACGTAAAAAACCAAAACAAACAAACAACCCCCACCACCACAAAAATTAACAGCCCATAATAGAGACCAGTCTTTAGCTGTCTGAAACCGAGGAAACTGAGGAAGTACGTCCCAGAGACGCAGTGTGTTAGGTACTGCAATTATAGAAGCCATCTTCACTCTTTGTAGAAGTGCCTACAGACGATGCTTCAGTTCTCAGGAAAAGGGAGTCATTTCATATAGAATTTAGAGACAAGTTTGGGGCAGATGAGCAGTGAAACACCCCCAGAACAGGATGAAGGGAATACAGATATGGTATTATAGGATTTGTAGTGTTGATCTAAGGGTAGCAAACCTCAGCTTTTTTTAGGGAACAGTATCCAAAATGATTAGCTTAAATATTAAGGCTGCTACACAGACAGGTGAGGTTTGATCTGCAAATCAAGCAACCGTAAATTATTACATGCTGGAAAACAAAAGCAAGTTTTTAAACATATTCTATACAAATTTCCTTTCCATATCGCTATACTAAAACAGTTTAATCTATATATTCAACAAGCCATTCATTTAATATAAAGAACTATGAAAACTCGTCTTGAAATGTTAATTGCTTCCTTAATAGCCGAATTCATCTTGCACTCACCTCAACCAACCTCAGCAACAAGGGAATAAAACAAAAGCAAGTTTTTAAACATATTCTATACAAATTTCCTTTCCATATCGCTATACTAAAACAGTTTAATCTATATATTCAACAAGCCATTCATTTAATATAAAGAACTATGAAAACTCGTCTTGAAATGTTAATTGCTTCCTTAATAGCCGAATTCATCTTGCACTCACCTCAACCAACCTCAGCAACAAGGGAATAACT